AAAAAAAAAAAGGAAGAAGTCTTGCTATTGCAACATGGATGAACATACAGGATATCATGCTAAGTGAAATAAGCTAGTTACAGAAAGACAAATACTGTGGCTCACTCGGGAGAGTGCGGTGCTGATAACACCAAGGCCACGGGTTCGGATCCTATATAGGGATGGCTAGTTAGCTCACTGGCTGAGCATGGTGCTGACAACACCAAGCCAAGGGTTAAGATCCCCTCACCGGTCATCTTTTAAAAAAAAAAAAAGGAAGAAGTCTTGCTATTGCAACATGGATGAACATACAGGATATCATGCTAAGTGAAATAAGCTAGTTACAGAAAGACAAATACTGCATGATCTCATTTACATGTAGTCTAAAGCAGTCAAACTCATAAAGAATACAATGGTGGTTACCAGGGGAAGGAAGGGGCAGGGGAAATGATGGTCAAAGAGTATAAACTTTGTTATGAGTAAATCTTGGAGATCTAATGTACAGCATGGTGACTATAGCTTATATTGTACTGTATTCTTACAATTTGCTGAGAAGATCTTGTGTTTTGCAGCTGGCTGGTACAGGGATTGAACCCTGGACCTTGGTGTTACTGGCACACCGTAACACAGCCAACGAGCCAGCCCAAGAGTAGATTGTAAATTAAGTGTTCTTACCACATACACACAAAAATGGTAACTATGTGAGGTGGTGGATGTGTTAATTAGCTTAAAGGTGACCATCATTTCAAATGTGTATGTTTATCAGATCATCTGGGCTGGCCGGTTAACTCAGTTGGTTAGAGGGCAGTCTTATGACATCAAGGTCGCAGCGTTGGGTCCCTGTTCAGGCCAGCCACAAAAACAAAAACAAACCATCTGTCTTATGCCTTAAATATACACTATTTTTGTAAGTCACACTTCAAAAGAGCTGGGGAAAAGCTTAAAAAAAAAAAAAAAAAAAAGATGAAGTTAGAAGCTCTGGATAGCTGAACACAGAGGTCCCTGGAGGTACACCCAGGGAGGGCATGGAAGCTCTTTGCCCCCTCCCATACTTCACCCTATGCATCTGTGTCCTTTGCAACATCCTTTATAATAAAATGGTAAATGTAAAAATGAAGCTAAAAATTGCAGTTTCTAAGTGACTAATAGCCAAGATTCACTCAACAGTTAAGTTTGAGGTAGAGGTACTGATCTTACAATGTGAATACTGACACATATATTACTTAAAAAACGTTTTCACATTATCTGTTGAACAAGGAAAAAGAAGTCTGCTGGGTGAATAGGTGAACTTGCTTTTCTCACTTACTGGATTTTTTTGGCAGCTGGCTTGTACAGGAATTGAACCCTGCACCTTGATGTTACCAGCACCATGCTCTAAAACCAACTGAGGCCAACCTCAAATGTGCCTATCTGAGAAAATCCAAGTTCTGGGCTAGCCAGTTAGCTCAGCTGGTTACAGCGTGGTGCTGGTAACACCAAGGTCCAGGGTTTGATCCCTGTACCAGCCAGCCACAAAAATAAAGATTCAAATAGGTACATTCCCTAAGGTTTTTGTATGTGTTAAACCTCACTGCAGACAAATCAGAGATATCAATATATAGACTGACTTTTTGGTAAGGTTAAGTAGCCAATTCTGTTTCATACATTGTGCACTTTGGCTATTATGGGGTGGTGTCCAAGCCACTATCAAAGGCAAAAATAGGCTCCATGAACTTGGATTTCAGTGCAGTCGGTTGATGCTAGAACTCCTGCTTCTAAACCCCTCTGCATTCCTCACTTTCTTACCAAATGGTTTCTGAGGTAGGACATGCCTGCTGTGTTACTTTATAACGTAAACAAGACTCATATGCTGATCTCCCAGCCTTCAGTATGAGTAAATGATTTAAGTAGGAAAAAACGGACTCTTCATCAGTGTATTAGAAATGTTTATTCAGAATGCCACAAATTGGTTTAACAATTTAGAAGCCTTAACTTTGTGTATACACTGTATATTAAGACCCATCCCGCCCACAGGACCTAGGGCAGCTCCACACTAGCAAACACTAGCACTTCTGCAGCAAACTGTGTCCATACTCACACTAAGCATTTGTGGTAAAACAAAGTTTACAAACAGGCTCAGGTCAGGTCTTACCAGCAAATCCGAAAATCCTTGGTTTTTCCAATCTGTGCACTCTGCACTATGACTAAGGAGTTATGGCCTGGTATGCTGGCTGAGGATGGGGAAAGGAAAGCAGCTGGGCAGGGACTCTGGCAGGTTTTATCTTGATAAGCAAATAAGAATGGCAGGAATACTGGCCACTGACTGTCATCCAATATGCCCTTTTACATATCCTAAGGTTCACAGCAACTTATTTTAAAAAGCTTTTTGAAAGTCATTTTCTACACACCTGCATAAATCCAGAATGTGGGATAAGGGTGTGGGAGTAGTTACCAAGACCAGAGACCTAGACTGTTCTAAACATTTTACATTTAATACCCCTAACTCCTCTGTAAGTTGAGTACTATTTCCAGTTTAACAGATGTTGAAACTGAGGCAGAGAAGAAATTAAGCTAGGAAGCAGGTCTGGAAACAGTGATTTCTGCCCAGGTGGGGTAGGAGAGGAGGGCTTGAAGATAAAACCAATTGCAGGCCATGTGTTTGGTCCTTGCAGGCCTTAGGATACATGTTCTCAAGGCATCTTTGAGTGTTTGGTGTCTCTAGTCTTGGTGGGTTCTTAGAAACATTTACATTACTGAGATGGTGATCAAACCAAAGCAGGGGACTAACAAGCACTTTAAGAGGCTTTGAATCTCGGGCCGGCCCGTGGCTCACTCGGTAGAGTGCGGTGCTAACACCAAGGCCGCGGGTTCGGATCCTATATAGGGATGGCCGGTTTGCTCACTGGCTGAGCGTGGTGCTGACAACACCAAGCCAAGGGTTGAGATCCCCTTACCGGTCATCTTAAAAAAAAAAAAAAAAAAAAGAGGCTTTGAATCTCAAATCCGGAATTTTCTCTATCAGGGATTGTAGCACCATAGAAAAGTAACTGGGCCCTCCCTGCCCTTTTCCTTAGAGCAAATACCCAGTAAGAGACTGGGCCTCTTTGGATCGGATTACCAGAAAGCACTTTCTGAAATCAGAAAAGCAGAGGTTGACAGTTATACAGGTCTATGAGGCTACTTACAGCCTTCGTTGATCCCACTTAGGGGATCATTTTGTTGCAATATTTTGGCTGATCATGGGATCCTACCTCAGGTGACACTGGGGATAAAGTACATCTCCCTTCCTGAGAGAGAGGGAGCAGAGGTTCTCCCCCCTCAACTACAAGGCACTAATAGTGGTCCTCCTGCCAGCCCCCACTGCCTCAGCTCCCCAAAAGCCCAGCACAGAATGCCTCTTCAGACTAAGTACCCACCTGGTGGGGTTAGCCACAATGCCCCATAACCTGGGCCTGGCTCAGTGGGCAAGGCAGGAAGCCTGGGAAGTTCCTGAATCTCTATCCACCCACCAAAGCAAATTCATGACTGTTTGGAAAAAGTGTCCTTGGGGCTGTCCCAACTAGTGGGAGACCAAGGAGGGAGACTGGGACTCACAACTCATGGGGCTCTGTGCTGTCCACGAATGAGGGAATAAGGCACCTTAGGATAATAAGAACCTCGAGCCTGCAACCTGGTGGTACTTGGCTCAATACCGGCCAGTGGAAGCCACAGACATAATTAACTTTTGTTCTAAACTGGAAGCAATGGAGAGACAATGCCCATGGGGCCCCAATACAGATGCTACAACCATGGCTCAAGGGAAAAGTGAACTGAGGAACTAAGACTAGCCAGAGGAACAAAAATCAAACAGGTCATCACCACCACCTTACCACCCAAGACACACACACTGAGGAAGACAATCCCTCTGAAAGCTTTGCCAACTGTTCTCAAAAGATTTACGTGTCTGTCCAATTCACTTAGCTCTCCACAGAAAATGTAAATTGCATACGAGGCTGAGGCACGTAGAGGTCAAATATCTGGGAAACAGAGCCCTGATTGGATTCAGATTCCATGATCCAAATCTGAGCTCTTAAGAGTCCTATTTTCAAACCAGGTTTCCTTAATGTGTATAACACAAAGGTGAATTCAGTTTACCTCCCCCCATACCCCATCACTTCAGGGGAAGGAACAAGCACCACTCCGTTTTTATGACAAGGCTTTGCTCATGCCACAAGATTAGGTGCTTACATTCTCAGAACAATCCTGTGAGGAAGGCGCCCACGAGAAGCTAGTGAGATTCAAACCCAAGCAAAAACTAATTAAGATGATGGGACCAAGAGACCATTTAAGGAAACCAAATTCCAGCCATAAGGGGATTTTCATGTGTACCCACCACACCTCAGGCTTCAACATATACCCAATCCCAAGCTCAACCAAACTTTGAAACTTGAGGTTTCTGCCCTTTTGGCAGTCCCTACCAAATTTTTTTCCAAGTTTCCCTCCTCCTGACCTGCCTCTATTTTTAATTTGCAAACTGGGTTGAGTAAGGAAAAACCACTATTAGTATATCAATTGGTTCTCAGGTTTCATCTTTTTTAATCAGCTCCTTGGAGGACATCCTAAACACTACATGAAACACAACAGAATTTTTCTTCCAGTATTAAAAATGACATTCACGAACATTTTTAAGACACTCTTCCACATAATTACGGTGGTGATCTTGAGTAAAAAAAACACCTCTAAGCAATTGTGTTCTTGATGCAAATTTTTTATAGGTACATTCAGAAACTGCTTCCTAACAACAAATATTGTGTACAGGTTTTAAAATGTTCCTAGATATACATTAATTTTTTTAAAAAAATCAGTCTGGCCCAACATTTTTTTTGCCAGAACCAATAATCCTGAGATCCCAAACTAAACTGGTAAAAGGAAAATACCAACTCTTATGCCAGAATTTATCTTTACATGAGAGAAAAAATCTTAAAAAACACATGGAACTTTCTAAAAGATCTTTTTAACAAGCAACCTTGGGAGCTCAATTCAAAAATAGAAGTCGAGATACTAAAACAGATGTTTCAGTGCAGCTCCAAAAATCTTTATAAATACAGCCATTTGGAAGGACGATCCTGGATCAGAAGTGTTATTCCTTGTGTATCTGAGAACAGTAAGAAGAGGAAGAATTGTGATATGAGGAAGGAACAGGCTGACAATATGCTCACCTGCCAGAATTGACAGATGCCGAGAGCTGGACAACAGGGACACCCCTCCACTGCCTCCATCCCCCAAAAGAGCAGGATTACAGGAGACACCCCCTGCAAGCACACTAGCCTTGACATGCACCTGAGAGCAAGGAAGGCTTAGGAATGGTGTTTGGTGAGCTGGCAGGGTGAGGTATGCAAGGGTAGCAGAAAAAGTGAGCAGCCTGGCCAGAAAAGGTGAAAGGAACATGACAGGGTTTGATAGACAGAGGTTTGCTCAGTGCCAATACCCAAGTCTCACCTACATTATGTGGGCATGCCTCATCTCAATTGTCATAATTGTCTCTGTAATTTCCTCCTGAATAGCGATCATAACCACCCTGGCTTCTGGGAAAAAGCACACAAGTTTTACAGGAATGTATCAGACACCACCGATAATAATGTTAAAAACCATGTATGTCAAAGTTTTATATATATATATATATATAATACATGTCACATTTTATAATATGTATGATAGTATAAGTCTTAAATACAAAAACAATATGTTAAACACATGAATATCACATAGTAAATACAATTTTATGGCTTACAACTTATATACAACATAATACATATTACACGTTAATGCAACGTATCGCTACACAATTAACCAACACAGTACAATCAACACAGGTATTATCTACCATGTTGTAATTATACCACTATACAATGAACGCACTCACTACACATAACTCAAAATATTAAGTTTCATACTTGTTTTAAGCACACAGTAATGTCACCAAGGTGTGATAGGTATGAACACGCAGGCAGCTGAGCTCTTAAGGAGAGGGAAGCAGCAGTGAACCCCAACCCTCACCTACCTACCTGCCACTATAGTCTCTGGACCGTCCATGTCCATATCCATATCCATATCCATATCCTCCAGGTCGACTGTCATACCTGCCGCTCCCATAGCCCTGGTCCCCGCCACCTGCAGCAGATAAAAAATATTTAAATAGTAGTTATCCAGACATAGGCCACTAATAAGTGGCTCTCCCTCTCACCCCATGATCAAACTTACCACAATGCTTACCTCTAGAGTAGCTGCGACCACGCCCATAGGCCCCAAAGGCACCCCCTCTGGTTCCCCGGGCAGACTTGCCCGCATGGTCCACACGGATTTGGCGACCATCCAGGGACTAGGTGTGGAAGACACAAGGATGATTGGTTGGCAAACAGTCAGGGCAGTGGAGAGGGAAGAGTGGGCATGGGCAGGTGGGCAGAAGAGCCCAGAAATTCCTACTGAGCACCAGGTTCGGGGTGCCGTGTTCCAGAAGAAGCTCCTTTGACCAGAATGGCACCAGCAGGAGCTGTAGAACCCCACAAAATGACCTGAATTCACCGTGTTCCCCCTGCTACTACTTACATCTGGACTGAACTCAAGCTGAGTTCTCCTCCCCACTCCTCTAAGCTGCCCGACTATCAGGGCTAGATAAACACCTCTCTTGGTTTGAGGCTTCAGAGTCCATCCCAGAAGACTCACGAGGTCCTCTCCGGGCCAGGCCCACAGGTCTGCAGACTCTACTACCTAAGCCCAGGGCAGGTCAACCATCCACGGGTGGCTTCTCGGCCTCATGCAGGACCAGTCGTCGCCTCCCAGGTAGCCCGGCTCTGTCTGCCGCTGCCCTCCACCCCCTAGAACAGAAGGCAGTCACGCTCCTGTGAGTAGGTACTGGGGGGCTTGGTGGCCGCGCTGCCCCTAGCAGACACAGAGGGAAAAACAGAAAGAATGGAGGAAGTGATAGATGGGAACAGGACCCCTCTGCAGGTAAGAGGCTTCACCTCTCCATTCATGGCTCTCATAGCATCTGAGGCATGCTCTGGGTTGGTGAAGGTGATGAAGCCAAAACCCCGGGATCGCTGAGTCTCCCGGTCCTTGACCACGACCACTGAGGAAGGAAAAGATGGAAAAACGTGGTTAGCATCAGAAAGGATAAGTGACGGGCCGGCCCGGTGGCGCACTGGATAGTGCGCCGCTTGGGAAGCGCGGCGGCGCTCCCGCCCGAGTGTTCGGATCCCACATACAGACC